GTTGTTAGGTGGCATCGAGTCGGTTCCAACTCAAAGCAACCCTATGGACAACAGAGTGAGATGCTGCCTTTTTCTGCGCCATCCTACAGTTGTTGCTATGCTGGAGCCCATTGTTGCAGCCATATGTCAATCCATCTTGTTAAGGGTCTTCCACTTTTTCACTGATCTCTACTTTATCAAGCATTTGGGTCATTATTATTTGTTATTGTTATTGGAGGAGCCCTGGTGGCGCTCCCCCAATAATAATAAGAAATACTAATGACCCAAATGTAGGAGAGACTGTATGCTTTATTTGGAAAAGTGTAACCTTTGGAACAAAGAAGAATGAGTTCTGGTTTTGCAACATTCATCCTATGTGGCTTTTGATATGTCATTAAAAAAAAAAAAATCTCTTTGTGCCTCAGTTTCCTCATGTGTAAGATGGTGTTAATGATACTTGCAGGACTGTTGTCAAAATTAGAGGTTATACGTATAAAGTCCTACCTGATATCAGCCCCATAGAGTTTCCAAGGAGTGGGTGGTGGATTCAAACAGCCAAGCTTTCAGTTAGCAGCCGAGCTCTTAACTACTGTGCCACCAGGGATCCAGGTGGCACATAGTAAAGAAAAAGCTAAACCAGTTGCCATCAAGTCAATTCTGTCTCATGGGAACCCCATTTGTTTCAGAGTAGAATTGTGCTCTATAGAGTTTTCAATGGCTGTGATCTTGTGGAAATAGATCACCAGGACTTTCTTCCAAGGTGCCTCTGGATGGATTTGAACTGCCAACCTTTTGGTTAGTAGCCATAGCACGTGTTCAATAAATAGTAACTGTCATTACTGCTATTATAAGTAATAATAACAGCAACCAAGATACCATGTGCTTATTCTGAACCTTTTCTCTCCCTCACTTTCAGGGAGCCAAACAGCTCTATTCTACCCTGTACGTGGTAAAGGCACAGCCTCGTGTTCAATTCCTAGGATAGTGAGAAGGAATACCATGCTCCCTGACCAGTGGGTGACTAACTCATCCTGGTTTGCCAGGAAATGTCCTGGTTTTACACTGAATGTTCCACATCCCAGGAACCCCTTAGTCCCAGGCAAACTGGTACAGTTAGGTGGTCACTCGACTCGCCACCAACATGGGCTAGTCTAAGCCCCATGACATCTTCCAGTGCCTAGATTTAGAGTATCTAGGCAGTTTGTACTGGAAATCTGAAAGGACCCAGGAATATTAGCTTCAAGAGCCATTTGAAGTCGTTTAAAAGAGGTAGGATCTAAATAAATAAGTGAGAGGGGAAAAAAAAAAAAGCTCTGGCCTTAAAATTCATTGTGCTGGGTGTAAGATACAAAAAAATCAGTTATGAAGACCACATATTTTATGATCCCATTATGTGAAATATCTGGAATAGGCAAATCTATAGAGACAGTAAGTAAATTAGTGGTTGCCTAGGGCTGTGAGAAACCGTTTTAATTCTCCTGGAATCCAAATTTCTGGGTCCACAGAGTTGAGGTGACCAACTCCTTAGGTGTCCTTTTGAACCTTGAGCATTTAAGGAACTGTTTTCCTAAACTCACCTTCCAGTCAAACAATAGCCTAGTTAGCAGCTTAGTGGCGATCATTTTGCCTTAGGCATTGGGCTCTTTTGGAGAATTACAATGACCTTCAGAAGACTACCCTGCCCGGACCCCACCTATATAACCTGCTTTCACTATTGGAATGCCTTCCCAATAACTTTGGGTTGATGCTGCCTGATTTGAATGGTACCTACTCACAATAAATATATTCTATTATACTGAATTTTGGCGTTTCTCCTTGCATTTAGGTTTTTGACAGCTGGAAGCGGATATGGGGGAAAATGGGGAATGACCGCTAATGGGTGCAGAGTTTCTTTTTGGGATGATGAACATGTTCTAAAATTGAATGTGGTGATGGTTGCACAACTCTATGACTATACTAAAAACCATTGAATTGTACACTTTAAGTGGGTGAACTGTATGGTGTGTGAATTCTATCTCAATAAATCTATTAAAATTAACAAATCTTTTATAAAAATAAAAAATAGTTTAAAAAAATTAACAGTTCTTCCCCTTTGAGAATATCTAAATTAAAATTTTTCTTGACCCTCATCTTAGGAATTATCTCTTCAATAACATGAAAATAATATTTAAACCTAGCCAGGAAGTCCTCACTTTGCAGGTGAGAAGAGGAAGGCCTATAAGGAGAAATAACAGGAGCTTTTCCTCAGCTCTGCTGAGGGTTGATGCATTTGAATTACGGTGTTGGTGAAGAATATTGAGTATACCATGGACTGCCAGAAGAACGAACAAATCTGTCTTCGAAGAAATACAGCTAAAATGTTTCTTAGAAGCGAGAATGGCAAGACTTCGTTTCACGTACTTTGGACATCATGCTTGGTAAAGCAGAAGGTTGGTGAAAGAGAGGAAGACCCTCAGTGAGATGGATTAACACAGTAGCTGTAACAATGGGCTCAAGCATAGCAATGATTGTGAGGATGGCACAGTACGGGCAGCGTTTTGTTCTGTTGTACATAGGGTTGCTGTGAGTTGGAACAAACTTGATGGCACCTAACAACAACAACTGATGAGATCGTGGAAAACTCAGGCAGGAGGAGGGGCCAGAAGAGCCTCCACGTAGCCAGCAGTTATTTACAAAAGGAGAAAAGAGCGTATAAAACAGAACGAAGTAAATGCTAAACTGAGGCTCAACCAAAGTACCACAGAATGGCAGAAGAAGGAACTATTGACATCCACCAGGAGCTCTGGAAAGGATGCAAAAAGTCAGTGGGGAGGGCATTCCAGGTAGAGGCAACAGCATGGGCACAGGCTCTGAGATGTTAAAGTAGGTGGCTTATTAGAGACTGTCTGGCGGTGTGGAGGAATGGAGAGTATTTGGGCCAGATCGTGGACAGCACTGGACACGGTCCTGGCTCGGAGTTTGGATTTCACTCTGTGGACACTCAGAATCTGGGGAGGATCTTTAAGTACAAGTCATACATCAGTAACACGTAAGTGAGTGATAGATCTGTATAGGTCTCAGAAGCCATTTCACAGATGTGAGAGTCTTATAAGAGGTCACTGAGTGGGTTAGTGGTCAAGCTGCCTGTAATGCAGAGGCTCCTAACCCATCTTCTACTACACCAAGCTGCCTTCGTGGATGATCTGATCTGGATGCTGTTTTCTTCCCTTTCCTCTCTTCTTTTCTTCTTCTCTCCATTTATCTTCTCCAATTCCTGCCCACCCTTTCCCTTGCTTTCTTCTCCTTTGTCCCCTTCCCAAGCTTTGGGTCTGCCTGGGGCATTCCTGTTGCCCACACAGGCTTTGCTGAGCTCTGCTGCTGTCCCAGGCAGTTCTGGTGTTTGCTTTCCAACCCTCTGGTGGCCTGGGCAGTGAGCCCAGATACAGGGGGGAAATGAGCAAGGAGGTTTTGGGGCTTGGGAGATGGGCGGGTTGTATTCTTCTCAGGTGAATCTGGACCCAGCCAGTCAACGAAGAAACAATGATGAGCAAGGATAGGCTTACAGAAAAAGTAGCAACATGCCACACATTCTGTGGGGCACAGTAGGGGAGGGTTCTCTAGGGGATGGATGTGTGTGCATGGGGTGGGGGCACTCTGCTTGCATTGGTTGAGCTACGTCAACAAGACAGGCCCTGTTGATTCACTGCACTTTTACAGAACACCTGTTAGAACTAGGTCTGGTGAGAGGCCCTGAGGTGTGCATTCTTGTTCAAAGGGCAGCTGGGAGGAGGGGCCTGCATGACTCAAGCTTCAGGAAAGCAGGAGTCTGTGGGTCCAAAAGCAGACTTGGCCACTGATTTACAAGCAGGAGTACCTCAACATTTATGGAGCACCTGTGAGACAGGCAGTGTGCAAGGTCCTAGGGCACAGAGATAAAACCAGAATGACTGCCATTAAGGAGTCACAGGTTCTGCACACATATAAACCACGGACTTATCTCTTAGGCCACAATGAGAGATCTTCAGTAAATGATGTAGCCATAAACGCACAGATGGCTCACATAGTACAAGCTGGAAAACAGCCCCGGCAAAACAAGGCTCAGGGTGGGAAATAAGGTTAGGAAAGTGGGTTCTAGCCTCGGCTCTGCCAGTTCTAGCTCTCAACTTCAGTTTTCTCAACCTTGAGATCCGAGGTGTTCTTTTAGTGCCTCAAGAATCACTTCGGAGTGCTTATTAAAAGCAGATTCCAGAGTCCAACCCAAGCCTTGTTGTTGATAGTTACCTTGAGTTGATTCTGACTCAGAGTAACCTCATTGCGCAGAGAACTGCTCCATAGTTTTCAAGGCTGTGACCTTTTGGATGCAGATCGCCAGTCCCAAGCCTTACTAAATCAGAATGCCTGGAGCTATGTCCCCGAGTCTGCATTTTTACACCTACTCCCGCAGGCAATTTTGAGGTTGGTAGGCTACACACCGAAGTTTGAGAAGTACACTGTACTGCTTAATAGGGAGATAAGGAGCTGCTTCAGAGACAGGTCTGGCTAACGATTAAAGAGCTAATAAAGCCACATGCGTGAAAGCGCCTTGTAAACCTGAGAACAATCCAATTCTTTATACTGAGATCCAAATAATAATAAATAAATAAGTAAAAATAATAATAGTAAAAGAAGTGGAACCGCACTGCAAACGCAGAGCAGTCCGAGCCGGTTCTACGGCCCCGTCGCTCCAGCACAGTCAGCGCGACTGTCTCTTTAAGGCCCGCAAGGCCGCCTCCCGCTGGGCGTGCAGCGCGGCCAGCGGCGCGTGCGTACTAGCTGCCGGTAGACCGGCGGGGCCTCCAAGCGGGGCGGTCGCGGCGGCACGTCGCCGGCGCTTGTTGCGTGAGTGCCTCGCCCCGCCCCGCCCTTTTCCCCACCCCTTCCCCTCCCCCTCCGCGGGACCTCCCCTTTCCGCGGGGTACAGCTGGGCTAGTGACGCGGGCGACGCCGCCGCCGCGTTCCATTCTCCGAAGCCGGCGGTAGCCTCGCCCCCTCCCTCGCCTCCGCCTTCTCCCCCGCAGCGCCGGCCAACAAGAGCCAGACAAGGGCACGCGGGGCCTCGCCTAGACCCGAGAGGGCTGCGGGCGCGTGTAGGCGGCGGAGCGGATCTCGGCGCCGCGGAAGCTGCGAGCGCCCTCTTCCTGGAGGTCGCCGCGCCGTTCCCAGGGTGAGTTGTCACCGCGGCCGGGGGGCGGCGGAGGCCGGCATTGTGTCACTTGCGCGCCCGGCTGGCTGTCAGGGGCGCGGGGACGGAGGTCGGCGCGCACTTCCCCGGGAGGGATGCTGGCTGGGGATCCGGCCCGCAGCGGCCGCTCCACGCGTCGGCCCCGCTGTCACCCGGACGCCCGGCTGTGAGCATCGCCGCCGGGTGCCCCGCTGTGGCCGGGCGGGGCGCGGGGCGGGGAGGGCGGCCGGCCGACGGTGTGGGATGTGCCGAGGCCGGGAGGAGGAGTGGACGGCAGATTTACGGCCAGAAACTTGGTGACTAGGAGCTCTAGGGCGCGCGTCCCGCGTCACTGCCCGGGCAGAGTCCGGAGAGCCAGGGCGGCCTCGCCGGGCTTGTGGGGCCGCGGTTCCTACCTGGAAGTTAAGGTGGAAACCACACTATGTGATCGGTGGAGAGGAGAAGGAAAGGAGGTAGGCAGAGGCCCTGGATCTTTATTACTGTTATTTTTCTCCCTCAAGCCGAGCAAAGCCTGCAGGTCCTGCGCTGGGATAGGGTTGGTTTAGTGATGGTGGATTTCCTGAGGAAACCGTGGAGCCCGTGTGTGCGCGCCTGAGTTTTCTGAATCCTCCGCGCCTCGTCTGCTCTTTAATCTCAAGAATTTACTACCTGAGCTGCAACTCATCGTAACCATTTCCTGTTTCATATAGAGAGACAGACAGACTTTCTTTTTTATTCCTGGTGTTTAGAGACTCCAAATATTAATGTAGGTCTGACCTGCAGCAGAGTGGTGACAGTGGGGCTGCTAAAGTGGAAAAAGTTATATACCTGTGAAGGGATTAGGAAGAGGAGGTGGTTATGGGAACAGCAAGGCCCAAGAGAAACGAGGGATCAAAATGAAGTCGTTGACTAGTTGAGGGAAGTTCCTGTCTCAACGAAGAAGGCCTAATGCTGTTTCCACAGAATTTTCTGTCATCGCAGCCTGCGTGCTGGGCTTTGTTGCTCTTGCTCACTGGGGTTGTGCGTGCTCTGTATGGAGGTGCAGCGAGTAAAATTACCCAGTTCAGTTAAACTACGGTATTTACTCTCTTTCCAGATCTGCAGAGGTGGGAAGAATGTGTTTTCAGCGTTCACGGTAGTTCATTTCTTGTTGCTTTCATGTTTGTGTATATACAAACACATACATATATAGGTACAATTTTGTTGCCATAGAATGGATTCTGATGCATGGCAATGCCGTGTGTCACAGTAGAACTATGCTCCATAGGGTTTTCAGTGGCTCATTTTTTGGAAGTAGATCGCCAGGCCTTTCTTCCAATGTGCCTTTAAGTAGACTTGAGCCTTTGCAGAATTTGTTAATGCTTTGCGCCAGGAAACCTTGGTGGCATAGTGGTTAAGAGCTTTGACTGCTAACCAAAAGATCAGCAGTTAAAATCCACCAGGCACTCCTTAGAAACCCTATGAGGGCAGTTCTACTCTGTCCTATAGGGTTGCTATGAGTTGGAATCGACTCAACAGCAACGGCTTTGGGTTTTTTTTTTTTTTTTTCCCCACTCAGGGTCTGTCTCTATGCGCGCGTGTGCGCGCGCACACACACACACACACACACACACACACACATACACATACATATTAACATATATAAATATATATATATATATATATATATATAAAACCAACCAACCCCTTGCCATATTAGACATAGTAGAACTGCCGCATAGGGTTTCCAGGGCTGTAATCCTTATGGAAGCAGACTGCAGAGCAGCTGAGGGGTTCAACTCACCGACTTTTCAGTTAGTAGCTGAGTGCTTAATCACTGCACCACCAGGGCTCTTTAAATATATACATATGTATGTATATACATATTTATATCTGTGAATGATGCGCACATACACACCTTTACACACCTTTTCTGTTTCGGGAATTCAGCACCCAAATTGTCACCACCAGTGGAGGCTAGAAGAGACACGTGCTTGGCATTGAGTTCTGACTTTTCTGGGCTTTGCATTTTTAGTTAGATGTATATTCAGCCAGAAATGAAAATTTTTGCAGTATTGGGGTGGAGTATGTCTACTCCTCTGTAAAGGAGGTAATAATAATAGTAGCAATGCTCTTTGCTGTCGAATTGATTCCGACTCATAGTGACCCTATAGGACGGTGTAGAACTGCCCCATAGGGTTTCCAAGGAGCAGCTGGTAGATCCAAACTGCTGACCTTTTGGTTAACAGCCGAGCACTTAACCACTGCACCACCAAGGCTCCAATAATAGCAATAATAGGGAAAAATTCTTGAGGACTTACTGTGTATTAAACTTTGTGCTGAGAACTTTACTTTCTTGATCTCATTTAATAAACGACAAACTTGAAAAAACTATTTTTCCATTGAGGTGAAGCCCAGACAAATTAAATAACTTGCCCAAGGTCACACAGGTCGTTCATGGTGGAGTTTACTCGCTTGGTAGATTACACTCTTAGTTTCTAGTGTGTTTACCTTTTGGTAAAATTGAAACCAGATTCTTTCTAGAACCTTCTCAAAGCATTACACTTCTTCAGCCTATTTGTCAGATCACGAAGCCTGGTGGTGTAGTGGTTAAGAGCTTAACCAAAAGGTTGGCAGTTCGAATCCACCAGCCACTCCTTGGAAACCCTATGGGGCAGTTCTGCTCTGTCCTATAGGGTCGCTATGAGTAGGAATCTGCTCGACGGCAGCGGGTTTTTTGGTTTGAACATTCCCAACTCTTCCTCCAAGGTACACACTTCTGGTATGTTTGCACAACATTCATTTATCCTTCCTTTCTTCCATCTTTCCATTTAGTATGTGATACAAAATGCATATCAGGCACTGTGCTAGGCCTCGGGGTTACTGCAATGAAAAAGAACCCAGCCATGCTCTCGTGGAGTTCATAGTCCAAGTCAGTTTATTTTGGTTTATGTTGTTAGCTTTAAGGAACTTAAAGCTACTTGCTGCTTAAGGAATTTCTGCCCAGTGAGTTAAACAGATGACAGTACTGGTATGAGCCCTCATAGATAGGACTTCCTGTCCACAGAATGACTCTTTGGATACCTTAGTAGAAATGGCAGATGAAAACAAATTCTCACCCACAACCACATGGGGACAGATCCCTGGGTGTTCAGGGCAGTGCTTGCCTAGCCTCTGCCCTGCAGTGTTTAAACTCTGAGTGCAAACTTACTGTAAAATGGCGAAGTTTGACTTATTTGCTAAGGCCTGCTTTCTCAAAGCCCAGAATTTGGGTGGATTACAAGAAGAGGAAGGAAGGTAGACTGAGGTGTTAGACAGATGCAGGCTGGCAGATGAAGAGACCTCAGCACTTTGTCTCCTTTCCTGGCGGTCTCCACTGTGTGGTGAAAGAACTTGTGCTCTTATGTAGTGATGTGTTTCCTGGCAGGGGATTTCCTCTTTTGCCGCTGTTGGGGCAGCAATTCTTCCCGCTACCTCCCCCTCCAAGCGCACATACACATGCACCTTCCAAAGATAGTAATTCACCTGGCTTCTTCAGAGACCTTCTTTCAAGTTTATAGATGCTAAGTATTGTTACAGTCCCTCCATATCTGTCCACCCACCCCACCCACAAAACTTGCATCTTGTTTCAGACCTTTCCTTGTGGTCTTTTTCTATATCCTTAGCTCTTCTGGCAACCAGGTTACTCCTGGTATCTATCATTTGTAGCCTCAGAGAATTACAATATCTTAAATAAAAAATTAGTGAGCCACACAATCTTTCTCATTTTAGTACTGAAACAGAAGTGAGCCAGTAGAATGTATGAAGCAGAACTGTTTGTCGGCAGTGAGGGAAGGCCAGAGAACATACGCACTTGTCTTTCCTCTCTAGTCTCCTAGTTGTTGTTGTTGTTGGGTGCCATCAGTCAATTTTGAACTCATAGTGACCCCATGTGACAGAGTACAACTGCCCCATAGGGCTTTCTAGGCTGTAATCTTTATGGAAGCAAATCACCAGGTCTTTCTCCCATGGAGCTGCTGGGTGGGTTCGAACTGCCAACCTTTTAGTTAGCAGTCGAGTGCTTAACGGTTGTACCACCAGGGAGAATTCACTGAGAGGCATGTTATGGAATGCCTGCTTGCAGCCTGAACGTCAGCAGATCCATGGGGTGGGTTGCGTAATTGCCATGCGTGAAACATTTTACTGACCTCCTGAATTGACATATGATCTTCTAGTTGAAGCTGATAAGCAGGATTCATTTTCTGTCCTCTATCTGCCTGGACAATAGGGTAGTCTTGTTTTGGGAGACATTTTCTGGTGTCAGTGGTCTAATATTGAAGCAGTAGGAGAAAGATGAGAAGGAACAAACAGAGGAAGGAGGCCTGTGTCCTTTTTTTTTTTAAACTTTGAAAGGCCTCATTTACCAGTCAGGGCCAGAAGTTAACTTGCTAGAAAAATACTGCTCTCTTGCAGACTTGAGTGCTGAGGATTAAGATAACTTGGGTTAAGGGTGAGCACTGGGACAAATGCGTATGTGATAATAGAAACTCTTTTCCCCTAGTTTCTCCTCAAGATGGCTTCAATCTAAGGGTCACCCACATATCTTGCCTTAGTGGGATTTCATTTCGTGGAATGATTTTTTAAAAAACTAATCTTTTAAAGTTATGTTGCCGCATTGCAGAAAGTCTGGAAACCAGAGCAGTGAGAAATATCACCCGTAAGGTGGAAGGGCTGTTTCCGTGTTTATCGTGTTTATCGCAGTGAAGGATGCAGCTTGAGGTTACAGGGTGGGGGCTTTGTCATGGGAATTTGAAGCTGCTAACAGATGTGGACCTGAGATCCATGAAACAATTTCAAGCACCCTTGAGCACCAAGTTCTTTTCACTGCCACCCTGTCTTGGCTTCAAGGCAACAGCCATTGTCCCCTTGGATGATTTTCAGTTCATGAGTGTCTGTAAAAACCTTTTATCTGAAAAGTAGAGGTGCTAGGGAAAGAGATACCTTTTACAAGGCTTAGGCTGTAGCGGCAGAGCCTATCAGGCACC